TTGTTTTAAGTTTAAGATTTGTATAAAACTATAAATCCAGGTTGGTCTAACATATCTTTATAATTAAAAATATGAGAATAAAAAGTCCTGTTTGATTAATTGTATAACTGTAGACCGGAGTGGTTGCAAAACAGATTCCTAATTCAGAGAACCTAATTCTATATTCAATTCAGCTGATTCCTAATTCAGAGAACCTAATTCTATATTCAAATCAGCTGATTTATCTACTGGAAATATTCCGACAAACCATGAATTTTGGAGGGAAATACAGCATAAAAAGGAATTAAATTCTATGAAAAAAGAACTAATTTATGTAATATATTGTTGATGTAAAGTTAATCTGGGGTAGGTTTACATATTTCTTGGTCTGGATATTCCTGGTTTACATATTTCTTGGTCTGGATATTCCTAGTTTACATATTTCTTGGTCTGGATATTCCTAGTTTACATATTTCTTGATCTCTGGATATTCCTAGTTTTTATATTTCTTGGTCTCTGGATATTCCTAGTTTACATATTTCTTGGTCTGGATATTCCTATTTTATATATTTCTTGGTCTTGATATACAAACTTTACTTTATTTTCAAAACTTTCAATTCAAATATAATTAATCCTAAACTTACAGAACTCTACCACTACTAGGGTTAATAAATTTGCCAAAAAATATCTACTTTTTTGTTTAAAAATTTAAGTATTTAGTTTCATGTCAAGAATAATGGGTAAAAATTAGTTAAAAGTTTTATTTTCAGAAATATTTTTTTGGGGAGAAAACATTTTAGGAACAAAAAATAAAAGACAGTAAATGCACTGTGAGTATTATTTTAAACAAGCTTATCGTAGTTTTAGAATGTATATACATAGGGCTACAAAAAAGTAAAAGTGGCTTGGTGAGGTAAAACTAAAGTCCAAGTCGTATAAATTTAATAATTGTCTATATATCAGTGAATGGCTTAAGAAAAGAACATGATTTTTGATTTTTATAAATTAATTATTTTTATCCAAATTATGTTTCAGAAGATGAATATCATTTTTGTTGTCTAGAGAGTGAAATTAATTTATTCTTTGTAATTGAGGCGGGATCCGAGCATTATTCATTTTATAAATAGTTTTGTACCCAGCCAGCCAAGTATAATTCTATAAATAATGTCCCACTGAGAGCAAGGATGGATATTGGGTTTTCGTTCAATATTAAGAATTAACGAAAATTTATATTCTTTCCTTGAAATCTTTTCTAAAAATCACTTTTCATCCATTCACTTTTTCAGTATTAAGAAATATATGAGGGAAACTTTTTTCTAAAGGGAGAGGTCTCGTATTTCTAAAGAGAGAGGTCTCGTATTTCTAAATGGGGGATATAACAATGTCGTCAAATCCCTTTATATTGTTACAGATAGTTGGTCACAAACTCAGGTCTATCACTAGCTTTATAATGGCAGACCATACAATTATCGATACCACTTTGCATCCTGACAAGGCTTCATAGTTTTAATTTTGGTTTAAAAAGTTTTAGATATTATTAATTTCTCCTTTTTTTTGGAAGCAAGAAATGGGTAAGTCACTTTTGGCTTGAAAGCACAAATGAACATAATCAGTTTTTAGAAACAAAAACATGGAAATCTGAGTCGAACTTGATCAGACAACATTTGTTTAAGGTACTACTGTGAATCGGACATGCCACTCTGGCAGTGGAGGGTCTTTTGAAATTACGTTTACAGTCCCTTTTAAGTTCAGAAAACAAATTAAACTAAGAATTTTCACATTTTCGTTGTCTCCAAAATGATAAAATTTGAAAATATCAAGGTTTTTAATTATTTGAAAACAAGTCAGAGATAAATATTATAAACAAAGCTAAACTCGTTCATTTAAAAATGTTTCAATTTTTAAAGAAGACTAAAATAAATTCTTTATAATATAATAATACTAGCCTTAGAGGGCGCTTCGCGCCCATCTTCTAAATTAATTGTGAACATGTTCTCTTTGTGTACATCGTAAAACAAAACAAAAATAATTCGCGGATTTTCACAAAAAATGTTGTGGATTTTCAAAATTTTAAAAAATTTAATGAAGATCGAATTTCGATGGAGACAAATATTTGAAATTTTGATCATTCATAAACGTTCCCTGGGGTCCCTAGATGTCCCACAAAAAATTTGGGCCCGATCGGTTCAGCCGTTTTAACGTTTATTGGTTACAAACAAACAGACAGACAAACAGACAGGGAAGCCAAATTTATATATAGATTAGAACGAAATCTATTGCAAAGCTTAGAACTTAGTCTTAGTCCAACCTTCTGACTTATCCTCTTTTCGATTTTAAGATCAAACTGATAGGGACTGTCGACATAAAACTAACTTGCGGAATTATGCAGCAGACTGAATGCAAATTGTCAGAATTAAACACTTTTCAGATAATAAAACGCCGAAATCTTCCTTCTTGTTACTCTTATAAATGTTTAAGGGTACCGTTGTGAATCGAGAATATAACTCTTGAAATGAAATTACGCCGACAGTTCCTTTCTCAAAATAACAAAAGGTTTATTTTGAACTTCTCAGTAATCCTAGTTCAAAGTTGAATTCAGAAATTGTTTTTATTGTGGGAGGATTAAAGATGGAACATAAGAAAATATTAAATCTTCTTTAGGTTTCATGAGTTCCTTTAGATTCTTGAGTTCCTTGAGTTCCTTAAGATTCATGAGTTCCTTGAGTTCCTTGAGTTTCACCTAATACTACGTTTCACCCAACTCACGTTTAGCCCAAACTACGCTAAAGAGTTTCACCCCCAAAAAAATTCTGCAGTACACAAGTTAGGCATCCTCTCGGAGTCCAAGCATGAACTAGCCCCTAGCCTATCCTAGCCGGAGCGCTCGACTCAGAAATTGTCTTAATTTAACTCAACCCAAAGTAATGTGAAAGACAGCACATTATTTAACATTTATGTAGTTAGCTACATGTAACTGCTACACCGTGTTAGGCTCCAATGTGGTTTGCAGATTTCGATCAAAAAAGCGGATTTACAACGATTTGCATTAATATAAGGAGCGGCCAAACGCAGTTTCGTGCGCATGCCGCAATAAATTATAAGAAGAGAGAGATTAGTATATATTTTAGGGTTAGGTTGAGTTAAGACACTTTCTGGGCCGCGCGCTGAGGCTAGGGCAGGCTTCGGGGCCGAACTCCGCGGCTAGGACAGACCATTAATATTTATCACTAGCTCGGAAACCCAGATTTGTTTGTAATATAAGTCGACCCGCTCAAATTATAATTGTTCAACCAATCTAAGATTTAACATTTCAATGATTCTCCCGAGTTCCCCAATCAAAATTTGAGGCAGATCTGTCCAGGGGTTTTTGAGTTATGATCGGAAATCGGGTAATAAATTCATTGCAATGTGTATTAGACGAATACAAAAAAATTGGGTGAAACTCTTAAATAAGTGTAGTTTGGGCGTAACGTAGTTTGGGTAAAACGTAGTATTGGGTTAAACGTGAATTGGGTGAAACATAAATTGGGTGAAACGTGATTGCACGAACTGTTACCACACCGTTCCTTGGATTTCTTGTTTTTTTTGAGTTCCTTGAGTTCCAGATTTCCTTGAGTTCCTAGATTTCCTTGGATTCCTTAAGTTCCTTTGGTTCCTAGAGTTCCTTTAGTTCATAGGGTTCCTTTAGTTCCATGGGTTCTTGAAGTTCCTTAAGTTCCTATAGTTTCTTAGGAGTCTTGAGTTCCTTGAGTTTCTTTAGTTTCTAGAGTTCCTTGAGTTTCTTGGGTTCCTTCATTTCCTATAGTTTTTTGGGTTTCTTGAGTTCCTTGAGTTCCTTAAGATTCATGAGTTCCTTGAGTTCCTTGAGTTTCACTTAATACTACGTTTCACCCAAATTACGNTATCTATATTTATCTGTTTATTAATCTATCCATCTGTTTATTTTTCTACGCATCTGTTTATCTATCTGTCCATCTGTTTACCTATCCATCCATCTGTTTATCTATCCATCCCTCCATCTGTTTATCTATCCATTCATCTGTTTATCTATCTATCCATCTGTTTATCTATCTATCCATCTGTTTATCTATCTTTTCATATGTTTATCTATCTTTTCATATGTTTATCTATCTTTTCATATGTTTATCTATCTTTTCATATGTTTATCTATATATCAATCTATCTATCCGTTTTTCTCTAATTCTACAAGTAGATATAATTAATATCTAATCTATTAATCTATGTATTTCTGCATCTAATTTTTTGTTAATTTATCTCTCTATTCTACCTTGGATTGGTGTTGTGTACATTTTAACAAAAGCCATTAGATTAATATTTTTTTCGTCCCATGAAAATTTGATTGGTAGTTTAGAAAAGTTTTAGAAAGTAACCTTACAGAACAAATTATTGAGGTTTGTGATGAAGTACGTTCGTTTGAGGCTCCTGGAGTAGTAGTATCATGTCAAGACCAGTAGGAAAATTCGACAAAAAATGTAATTTATTGAACTTTTCGTAAAAGACTCTTTTTATATTGCCCAAAAGTCTAGGTATAACTTTAGATATCATCTGTAAGAAATATTCATGAGATATTGAAAGGATATTGGATATGGTTGAATTGGAATCAGTTAATCAGAACCAGGTTTGCTCCAATGGACAATAATATCCAGGTTGTCTCTTTATCCTGTTCTCCAGGTCTATGCAAACTCAATTCAACCCTGCATATTTAAATTCAGTTCTACTCCGACTCTTCTCTTTCAATAGCTTTTCAACAAAATATTTAGTTTTAAAGTCACAGTATTATAAATATATTTATTTCGAATACAAATATTTACAAATATTTATATTTAATGCTTGAACATAAATTAACAAGATAATTAAGAAACCATGATGAAACAAAAGAATTAAGAATTAGAATGTGATCCAACAGTTATTTAAAAAAGCGTAAAAATTGTGTTTTTCCTTTTTAAAGAGAACTTAATTGAATGGGACTGAAAATGTGATTTTAGGTGAGTTTCCATTTCTAGAATGATATATCCGATTCACCACGGTACCATTCAGAGCTTTGTTTATGATTTATCCAACAAATTCTCTTTATAACTATTTTTATTCTCATTTGTGGTTTCTCTTTTCTGCTTTAGAAAATTTGCAGGAAATTCTCAAAATTAAAACGCTTTTTATTCTAGAAAAACAACGATATATTCCACATTATTGATCAGATAAAGGTTTAAAGGATACCACTGTGAATCAGGCATGTTCCTATTTATAACTTAAATTACAACGACAGAACCTTAAAGTACAAATCTAGGATAAAAAGGAAAGATTGGAAAGGATAAAAGTGAAAGGATTGGATGCAAAGGATGGGATGAAAAGGATGGCATGGAAAGGATAGAAGGGAAAGAATAGGATGGAAAGGATAGAAGGGAAAAGGATAAAAGGGAAAGAATGGAGAGGAAAGGATAGGATTGAAACAATAGGATGGAAAGGTTAGGATGGAAACAATAGGATGGAAAGGATAGGATGGACAGCATAGAAGGGAAAGATTAAGATGGAAAGGATAGAAGGGAAGAATAAGATGGAAAGGATAGAAGGGAAAGGATAGAAGGGAAAGGATAAAAGGGAAAGAATGGAGAGGAAAGGATAGGATTGAAAGAATAGGATGGAAAGGATAGCAAGGAAACAATAGGATGGAAAGGATAGGATTGAAACAATAGGATGGAAAGGATTTGATGGAAAGTATAGAAGGAAAAGAATGGAAAGGAATGGAGAAGTATGTGGCTCACAGTGAAAACAAAATAAAACAACTGGGAAAAGAAAAGTATGAAAGGAATGTTAGAACTGTGGACTGTAACAAGTTAACGGTTAGGAGAAATATAAGGTTTATGGTTACACTATACCATAATTTACTATGCAGAGTACCAAGTTCTAACTCTATACAATTACAACAGAATATCATCAACATCTTTATACGTATTCATTGTATAAGTGGTACAAAACCATTCCAAGCACTGGTTTATCTAGCTCAGAATACCGAACGTTGGTTTATCTAGCTCCTAATACCGAACACTGGTTTCGTTAGCTTCGAATACAGAGCACTGGATTACCTAGCTTCGAATACAGAGCACTGGTTTACCTATCTCCGTATACAGAGTACTGTTTTATCTAGCTTCGAATACAGAGCACTGGTTTACCTAGTTCCGAATACAGAGCACTGGTTTACTTAGCTCCGAATACACAACATTGTTTTACCTAGCTTCGAATACCGAGCACTGGTTTATCTAGCTCCAAATAAAGAACATTGGTTTATCTAGCTTCGAATACAGAGCACTGGTTTACCTAGCATCGAAACCCGAGGACTGGTTTAGTTTACATAGATCCGAATACCGAGCACTGGTTTATCTAGATCCGAATACCGAGCACTGTTTTTTCTAGCTCCGAATACCGAGCACTGGTTTACCTAGCCTCGAATACCGAGGACTGGTTAACCTAGCTCCGAAAACCGAACACTGGTTTATCTATCACCGAATACCGAGCACTGGTTTATCTAACTCCGAATGCCGAGTATTGGTTTATCTAGCTCCGAATACCGAGCACTGGTTTATCTATCTCCGAATACCGAGCACTGGTTTATCTAGCTCCGAACACTGGCTTATCTAGCTCCGAATACCAAGCACTGGTTTACAGGATAAAGCCTGGATCCTGTAGGACATTGGAAGGTTTCAGAGAAGCTGGAGGAGAAGAGAGCCAAGTTATCAATTCTAGAAGAAGAAGAATAATTAAAATATGAGCTTGGGATCATTAAAAGAGTTATTTAATTAGCTCGAAAACTGATGCATTTAGAACAATTTTAACGAAGGACAAATTATTAAATGAATTGATTGTATATTTCTCCAACCTAGATTGTGAAGGTGAATGTGGGTTGATGTGAAGATGAACTAATTTCGCTAGACTGCCCATTATTCCACAGTAACCCTAGATATAATATATTATTTATCCGTCCAGCTCAAAGATTAACTTTACTTCTGGTACTTGAAGAAGTAGAAGAAAGTATCTATATTTAATCAGAACAGTATTTATTGCGTTTTCTACAGGGTGTCCCAAAAAACATGGGAATTCAGTGACGAATTGGATATCGTCTTTGTTATGAATTAGCATTGTAATACCTAATTTCAAAAGCCATAATATTATTATGTCTGCTAGGGTTTATTTTATGAAAAGGGTAAAAGACTGTAAAGATGTGTCTATAATGTCTCCGCAAGATGAACAGTGAGGACGGACAAGTTTACTCTATCGTATACTGCAATTTTCTTGTTTTACTAAGTACACCCGTATGCAGTCAAAATATAAACAAACAAAATGTGAACATAGCAGACGAAACTGTTACAGATTACAGCTTTCTCAGTAGGTATCACTATATTAAATCAAAGAATTATTTAGAAAGACGATATCGAATTCGTCACTGAATTCCCATGTTTATCGGGACACCTTGTAGAATATGAGCAGAACATATCTAAAGGATTAATTTTGCTTCGTTCTGTATATGGATTATAGATAAGTTATATTTATACCAGGACAAAATTTACTCCGTCCTGCTGAGGCCGAATTTAAAGAATTTAAATCGCGTCGCTGAACCACCAAAAACCGGTTCCAATTGAGCGCCGGCTCAAATCTCGGAACACTGAATACAATTTCATGTAGAACCAACCATGTTCTTTAAATTCTTTAAATTTTGCCTGTTAACGGAGATAAATTTACTCCAAACCTTTTCATTAAATATATCGAAGAAAAATAAGTTGATACTGAACCAAGAAAAGTGGTTATCAGTGTCCTACTTTAGTTAAGTTTAGTATACTTATGTATCCTAAACTAGGCCAAAATATGCATATCAATACAGAGTAAAAAATAACTCTTTTATAAATGTAATTGGCGGGGTCACATTTGCATAATATTAACCTAATAAATAATAATCCACTAAGCGTAGATTAGAATGTAGAATTAATAAAAATAAAAACTATATTGATAATTCTAAAAATTGTCCAAAAGAAATTGCTTTTGTCTTGTTTTCCAAACATTTCGGTAAAAATTGCACCAAAACTATTTTGAAATATTTTAAGATCCAAAGAACCTTGAGGTTAAATGTAAATTTTTGTAAATTTTTTTTTCAGCATATGCTTATGCTTAAAAAGTACGTTAGAATTATGTCCAAAGTGTTTATGTAAAAACCTAGGAAATGTAAATTGTAAAAATTTAAAAGCAGACTAATTTTAACAGAAAAACACCCGCCACAAACTTTATTTAATTTTCGAATCCCTATATTTTTGCAGACTTGTGATGTTGATATTTCAAACTTTTAGAACAGAATTCATAGTTTTAGGTGTGAATTGTATATCTCCTGCCACTTTAATATGTTATTTGTGCAAATAAATATTACTTACTGTTTTAAAAAATAAAGGTTCTAGGACATGACATCAGAGAGGAAATTTATAAGGGTTGGAAAATTTGAATTTGTTCCTTTCCACGAACAAAATATACTATTAATAAAATTAACTCCGTGATTCCAAGGTTGCAACTCTTGCTGAAAAAACGTTGAGAATTTGGTTAAATAGTTCTTGAAAACCAATGTTAGAAGAAAATGCTTTATATTCCTAAAATGCATGTCTAGACGTGTATTTGATGGAGGGGGCATTGCGACACTTGAAAGTCAATCTAGTCTTTAAATTTTATGCAATTGTTCCTGCCTGCAGTCTAGAATCTAGATCTATGTGGTATGTGGTGTTTGATATATTACCTCAACCTATTTAAATTTTATGCAATTGTTCCTGCCTGCAGTCTAGAATCTAGATCTATGTGGTATGTGGTGTTTGATATCTTACCTCAACCTATGTAAAGGAAACGTAGTTTCTGTAAAACTGTTGAATAAGATCTAATTTTTAGCTTTATCTTGAAGCTTAAACCATTGTTTTACTAAGATATTGCCTAATAAAAATATTTTCCAAACATTGACCTAAATTCCACAAAATACCAGTATTAAACACATGCTAAGTAGGGACTATGGAAATTTTTAACTTGGTAACTATAGGGATTATCCCCCCTCCCNATAGGATTCTGTATAGGATTCTGTATAGGATTCTGTATAGGATTCTGTATAGGATTCTGTATAGGATTCTGTATAGGATTCTGTATAGGATTCTGTATAGGATTCTGTATAGGATTCTGTATAGGATTCTGTATAGGATTCTGTATAGGATTCTGTATAGGATTCTGTGTAGGATTCAAAGTTATCATTTAAAATATATTAACTTTTCTGTTGCAAATGTTTGACCAGAAGATTTGGTTTGATAAAAGCAACGGATCCAGATTTAGTACAAACTTTCCTTCAGATAAAGTTAATTCAGAATCATATACTTACATATTTAAAGAAATTGAATCTTTGTCACACGTTTAAATTTTGTTGATCCCAAATACATCTTTGCAACCTGGGAGCGACTTTAATAAATTTGAGCTTCACCGCTAATCTAACTGTTGCAAGTTCAAAGAAATTTAGTTTTTGCCACAAACACTGATTTTCTAATCCCTTTATCTTTGCAACCTAATGTCGTAGACCTTTTAGATATTTCAAACTACTAATTCTGTTTGTTCAAGTAATCAAAGTTTAAAATATCAAAGTTTAACACAATCGGGTTGCAAAGATATAGTGATTTCAAAATTTAATTTGTGGCAAAGCCTTAATTCCGGCGGAAGGCAGTTCAAATTTATTAAATTCGGTCCCTGCTAGTGTAAACCTTTGATATTTTAAACTTGGATTTTTGGATGTAACACAATTCATAGTTTAAAATATCTAAGTTGTACGACATTGGGTTGCAAAGATATGGGGATTACACATTTTATGGCAAAGGCTCAATTCCTTAGTAGTACATTTTGACAACAATCTTAACATTAATGAGTATGAAACATTTTTGGACATTTTTTTATCCGATTGAAAATATTTAGGGTTTTCAATTTCAAGAGGATCACAAAAATCTTTAAAGTTTTTCATTCGTAATTAGTGAATGGAAGATCTAAAGTCTCAAGTAGAAATATTATTTAAGGTATTTGAAATGTGACTGCATGAAGTAAACATAAAAAATCGCAAAATTTGAGTAATTGAAGGTATACTTTTAATATTTTGTAAGATTATATATATTTGTTGGATGGAGAGGAGGAGAAATGAATAGTAGAATAAATGAAAAATATTATGTATAGCATAACTACGTGATAAGATAAAGCCTAGGAAGTATGACACAATGAGAAATGGTTTCATTAGTATGCTTAGAATTAGTAATGTAGAAAATAGCGGAGATATGGCAGGATTGTTTACTCTGGGATAGAACTAGAACTAGAACTAGGACTAGAACTAGAACTAGAATTAGAACTAGAACTAGTTGAACCAGTAGAACTAGAACTAGAACTATGGGTTGGTATTATTCCAAAAATGATTCATAAAGATATATGTATGCATTACAATAAGTACACTGTACACTGTACACTGTACACTGTACACTGTACACTGTACACTGTACACTGTACACTGTACACAGTACTCTCTACACAGTACACTGTACACTGTACACTGTACAAAATGACAAACATGTAATGGCCCTTTTCGACCAATTAGTACAAAAATTACAAAGGAATTGAGTCTTTGCAACAATCTCAAATATTCGAATCCATATATATTTGCAACCGGATGGATTGAAGCTTTGATATTTCAAAATAAGATTATTTAATGTAAAAGAATTAATAGTTTGAAAAAGCTAAGGTCTACGACATTGGGTACTAAAGATATTGGAATTAGAAAATCAAGGTTTGTGGCAAAGACTCAATTCCTTTACAACAAAAGAAAATAATTTTCTTGAGAGAGTAGGGTTCGGATTAGCTTACATATATGGATCTAAAGTAACGACGAATATCAATTGTACTTTTCGGTAGAATTAAAAAAAATGTTGATCAACCTGAGCAATATTGAGGAAGAACAGCTGTGAAGGAGAGAAGTGGCTTCCAGCAATTCTGGTTTTATAATCAAACATATTGCTAACAACGTTCATTGCTTCTATATCAGCAATAGATTCTCCAATGGATATCTCCGGATTGGATTCTATCCTTATTCTCTGACCCTGATACGTATCCTGGATTTGTCCAACCTTGGATATCGTATCCTTCACACACTCAAGCTTCTTATCATACCTAGACAGAAATCATTATTATTATTATCATTTCTAGTATCATTATTATTCTTACGCTACCTATTAAGTGAAGTATTATCTAGTATATCTGAAAGTTTTCCGTTTTCATCCCAACCTACTCCTGTAGGATCTACGCTATGTATCAACTCATGTGCTGAAATAATATCTTATTAAAATGTTGATGACATGGTGTTTATTAGTACTGAAAGAGGTGGTAGCTTTAAAAACTTTTCAACAATTAAAAAGGGTTCTTTATCAGAATTTAAGCAAAATTTATTAAACTATGCGTCTTTTCTAGCGTTTAAACGTAGATTTTTAAACGGCCCTTTGTTCTTCGTAATTTTAAAACTCAAAATTTGGTGGATTTTTTTTTGTAAATATTGATAGATTTTAAAAATAAAAAAATCGACATTTTTTGGTAAACTTGTTTCCTTTTAACCATCCAGAATCCTTGCCTGTGGTCGTGTGAGTTGCCTCAAATAATTTGGGCCTTATCGATTCAACTGTTTTAAAAAATACAAAAAAGCCAAATTTATACTTAGATTGGAAGAATATCTATAGTTACCTATGATAAATGCTACTGGAGCATCTGTAGTATACTGCGGGGCTCCTGGAGAAATATGTAGAAAACTTGAGACCAGACCATAGGGAACCAACACACTATAGAAAATACGTAGTATTTTTATCAAGTTTTGAAAACAGTTTCGGATATTTAAAATGAAATCGTCCGCATGACGCATAGATTCAGACGCTATAAAAAATGCAACATTCCGAAACAGGGTCGACTTTAAAGTGTCCTTTGATTTTATCTTTCTAGCTTCAGATGAAAAGGAAATTCTGATAGATCTTTGCGTGAAACCTTGGAACTTTGGGATAGCTGTGATGAACGTCTAGTTACAGAGCCCCTATAGCCCCCCTAAATACGCCTCGGGTGTCTATCCCTTTCAATCCACTATGATCATGGGTACTATTACCATGATTGTGATAAAATTATCTCGCTGAATCATAATTATAATTTATACCTGTTCAGTTGGCGAATATGGAAAGCATTGACACCTAGCGGTGAAGTTATAACACTCCAAGAATATTCAGCTCTGTTAACCCTTCTCCTACAATATACTCAAGTTTATTTCAGAAATACTTAAAAACCTTAATGAAATTAATGTACATTGTAAAAGTCTCAGACTTTAAATGGTTCACATTGCATAGAAGGTAAGATATTGTAATTGTATTATAACTAGAAATTCAAGGCGCTTCACGCCCTTCTTTCTAGGCTTTTAGGGCGCTTCGCGCCCATCTTCTATTTAAATTATGAAAATGTTCTTTTTGTTTACATTTTAAAACGAAGAAGAAAAATTTTTTTTGCGGATTTTAAAAAAAATTCGCGGATTATCAAGAATTTAATTTTTTTTACAAAATTAAAAACCTTTAAAACACATTTTTTTTTAAATTTTTATCATTCATAAACCTTCCCTGTGGTCACGTGATGTCCCACAAAAAATTTGGGCCCGATCGGTTCTGCCGTTTTGACGTTTATTGGATACAAACAGACAGACAAACAAACAGACAAGCCAAATTTATATATAGAAGGTAGGATTTGGCTGCAATCCTGCAACTTATGCAAATATATCAATACTAGAAATTCAAGGCGCTTCGCGCCCTTCTTTCTAGCCTTAGAGGGCGCTTCGCGCCCATCTCCTAAATTAATTGTGAACATGTTCTCTTTGTGTACATCGTAAAACAAAACAAAAATAATTCGCGGATTTTCACAAAAAAATTCGCGGATTTTCAAAATTTTAAAAAATTTAATGACGATCGAATTTCGATGGAGACAAATATTTGAAATTTTGATGATTCATAAACCTTCCCTGGAGTCCCTAGATGTCCCACAAAAAATTTGGGCCCGATCGGTTCAGCCGTTTTGACGTTTATTGGATACAAACAAACAAACAAACACCAAAACAGACAAGCCAAATTTATATATAGATTTTATCCTACAGTAATAACCAGAAAAACTATTGAACTGCAGAATAGGAAGACGACGTTAAAGCAATACTAAAGTGCATTTGATGTTGTTAAAAAGCAAATAGTTTTACTGATAAGTTATAAAATCACTTATTAAGTAAATGGGTGTGGTAACACTGCACATTTACTGTGCCTCATGTTAATTGGACTATTTAAAGTCATAACTTGAGTTTAAAAGTCGACTTCCTTTTCCAGAGTTTTCTGGTTTTCACTGTACACAAATATTTTTTTTCGGCGTAGATAAATGTTGTATTGGATGCAGGATGAGATAAATCCTAATGGGTTTCATTGATTATCACAAACCTGAGCAATGAATAAATCCTTTCTTTGTGAATCCGAACCAGAGAAACTACATTCCCAAAGTAATCCTGATTAAACATATTTAATAATCCCAATATTAAACACAATTCTGCCTTTAGAACTTAATAAACAGGCTCTTCGTTTAAAAGTGGGTAGACCTGATTCACAACGGTACTCTTTAAACCTTTATCTGATCAATAATGTAAGTCACTTTACAAAGAAACCACCGTTAAACACAATGAAAATAAAAAATGAAGGATACTTTATGCATTCTGGAATTTCTCTGCATTTTTATATTTTTAATTTAATTTTATGCATTCTATCCCTTTCGTTTTCATAATTCTCTCCAAAAGAAAATATGCTGGTTCCTTACCAATATTTAAATTAATATTAATTATTTTTACTCTAATTCATTCATTAATGTTTACATTGATCCATTGATGCCTTAATCATCAGTGTAATTTCAAGTGCCCCTCCATATATAAAAGAATCACAAAGGTAGCCTTCAAACCTGATCTAATCAATAATGTGGAAGATATCGTTGTATTTCTAACTTGAATATCGTTGTATTTCTAACTTGAATATCGTTGTATTTCTAGCTTGAATATCGTTAATTTCTGATAATTTCCCCATGGTTTTTGCAGTGAAATGCGCAAGTCACTTATGTAGTGAAACCATCATAGAAAATAATGAGCTTTCAAATACAGAAACATTAATATCTACTTCATCCTAAATCAAAGCTTTTAAGGGTACCACTGTGAATCGGATATTCCCTTTATATCTAAAAGATCAATTGAAATTACATGTACAGTACCTTTAACTCAGTAATTAAATCACAATTTAAAGATTCAAATTGATAATTCTAGATGTTTCCTAAATGCAAATTAAGATATCTTACATGTTTTCAATCGTAACTTATCTTAACGTTTTGAATTTCTTATACAGGGTGTTCCACGAACCATGACAGTTGGTGAATAGTTTTGAATGTCTTTTTTCATATATTATATTAGATATTAAAGACGTTTTGATAAAAAAATCTTTTATTCGAATATATTTTACTTTTAAATAAATTTTACTATAATATGACAGCGATGTGATATTTTTTATTATTCTCTTTAGTATCAAATAACTTAACAAATTATGGATGAAGCCATTTAAAACTATATCACCAACTGTCATGTTTCCAGGGACTGTATGTATCTAACCAAATACATTTGCTTTTCTAATACTTGTGCGTAAAATCAAAACTAAAGGACCAAAAAATTTTAAATAAATTTTACTATAATATGACAGCGATGTGATATTTGTTATTATTCTCTTTAGTATCAAATAACTTATAAAATTATAAATTATGGATGAAGCCATTCAAAACTATATCACCAACTGTCATGTTTCCTGGGACGTATGTATCTAACCAAATACATTTGGTTTTCTAATACTTGTGTGTAAAATCAAAACTATAGGACAGTGATAACCAAAAAACAATGAAAAAGGAAGACGACATTATGGCAATACTTGTATACGTGTATTTAACGTTGTTACAAAGCAAATAGTATTACTAGACACTTGTAAAATTACTAATTAGTGATGGGTATAGCTGTTTACACCGTACAATTCCTGTGTCTCATGCTCATTGAACTTCTTGAAATTATAACTTGGTTTAAAAGTCGTCTTCCTATTTCGGAGTTTTCTGGTTAACACTGTACGAGGGCATACATTTGTACCAGTAATGATGCGTAAATTTGACCTTCTGTCTAGTTCATTGTGCTATACTTACATTTTGTGATATGTTAATATTTTGTATTGATTGTAGGACTAGATCTCTATCTAAGAAAATATGAGGAATATCAACGTCTATCTGAACCCTCTCAACCTTCCTCAATACTCGTCTCTTGGATTTACTAAAATATATAATTAAAGGGACTGTAAGCGCAATTTAAAGTGACCCTTAAAAGCTTTGTCTGATCAATAAATAGATATCCATGCTTTAGTTTCTTTAAACTGTTCATTTTCATTTGCAGTTTCTCTGCGAAAGTGACTTGCACATTTCTTTTCTTGCTGATATGCAATGTAAAAACTCAAAGCAATAAACAATTTTCGAGTCAGAAAAACGACGATATCTTCCACATTTTGATTAGCTTAAAGGGACTGTAAAGGAAAAATGAAAGGCGGTATAGGCTGAAACCTAAGTATTTTATGAGTTGATCAAAACCCATACGAGTTCTATCTGATATTCCTGTCTCGAGAAATTGATATAAATCTGTGTCAAATTTCTACGAAAATTTACATATAAAAAATGTTGTATAAAATTCGTAGGTTTAAACAGATCATATTCAGCAAATACGCGAACAAATCTGAAAACGACGATATCCAAGAGGAGCCTGAAAAACTTAGGTTTGCTACTTTTTAGATTTTATAATTTTCATTTTTCATCTTTAATAGACATAATTGGTAATATTATTTATACGTCCGTTTTAAGTGAACAGAACTCCCACCAATGGCAGTGCAGTATTGTTGTCACATGTCTGTATCATGTGACCAGTAAACTGCACTACCATTGGTTGGAGTTCTGGTCACGTGATACAGACGTATAAATAATATTATCAATTATATCTATTAAAATTTTATATATGTATATAAATTTTTGTATAAAATTGACACAGTTTTATATCAATTTCTCGAGACAAGAACGTCAGATAGAACTCTTAAGGGTCTCGATCAACTCCTAAAACGCCTATACCCCCTTTCATTTTTCCTTTACAGTTCGATCCTTTAAGGTTTTTTAAGTGTTACGTTGTAAATCGTACATTGCCATCTTTGTACCGAGGGTCACTTAAAATTGCGCTTACAGTCCCTTTAACATATGAAAATTTGAAAATAATGATTATTGAATAAGTTGATAAGAACTAACCTTGACATCCAAGACGTTCTATCCAAATGTTTCAGAGTTTCGGTTTTAACTTTTGAACCAAGATCTTTTACCTAGAAATTTAAACTATGTAATACACAAAAATAAACAAATATTTGCCTATTTTAGCGCAAAAATAATGTTAAGAGAAACTTAATTTATTTTTTTTTTATTTTCGAACCTCGAAAAGATTTTGATTCTACATTTCAAAACAAAAAAAAATGCATCTGTAGGTTTATAAATCTGCAAAAATCTTTCAATTAAAAGGTATTTCTCAAATTATATCTTTGTGTGAATTAATGAATAATGTGTATAAATAGTTTACCCTTGAGAGGAGTTGGTTCCTGTCAAACTGTGTAGCTGAATTAATATAGAGATGAGAGGATGGTATTGGAAGTATACCCTGAGTAACCTGACTACACGTCCTCCACCTAGATATACAAGATCATTACAGGGTTAATATAGAGATGAGAGGATAGTACTGGAAGTATACCCTGAGTANAGAAGCTAAAGCTAAGGGGCAAAACCCTTACAAACCCTAGGGATATTTAAACAATCTATCCTTTCGGGATCTTAGCATTTTGGATATTCTTAAAACCGTACACATCTATCATATGATCCTATAGATGCCAAAATTGTTAGCACTGAAATTCAGCGAGGCTTTTAAGACTCTCTTTAAATCCTTGTGAACCAGAATATTGCGAGTAATCAGCTCGTGAATCAGAATATTGCGAGTAATCAGCTCGTGAATCAGAATATTGCGAGTAATCAGCTCGTGAACCAGAATATTGCGAGTAATCAGCTCGTGAACCAGAATATTGCGAGTAATCAGTTCGTGAACCAGAATATTTCGACTAGAAGTAAAGTAAAAGAAAAATGAAAGTAAAAGTTAAATGAGCCCGGCAGGGCCCGGAGATTTGGAAAAAGTAATTAATTTTAACGAATGAATATGAATATTCTGAAGAGGTTTAACATGGATTTTCATTTGATAAAATACGCCCGGGGAATACACAAAATACGAGTTTTTGCAGATTTTATTTAATCTTTTTTGTTTAATTCATGATTTTATTAACTATTAACAAGCAGTGTAGATGTTTACCTCTCTTGAGAACTAGATTAACGAGACAGAGTAGATATTTACCTCTCTTGAGAACTAGATTTACGAGACAGAGTAGATATTTACCTCTCTTGAGAACTAGATTAACGAGACAGAGTAGATATATTTTACCTCTCTTGAGAACTAGATTATTGAGACAGAGTAGATATTAACCTCTATTGAGAACTAGAATAACGAGGCAGATAAGATATTTACCTCTCATGAGAACTAGAATAACGAGACAGGTAGATATAATATTCACCTCTCTTGAGAACTGTTTAGATTAACGAGACTACTAAGGAAATCTCTCCCGTAGAGAACCAGTAAGCCGAGACGAGCAATTCTAAATAAAACAAAAACAAATTTATAAATCACACTCAACTCATGTACATTTGAATCTACGCTGAACTGACCTAGACCTTACGGTCCGAGTTTGTACTGCCCGGCCCGGTACACCTACTTCACTAGCAGACATACGCAAGGGGTCAATAAAGTTCTGTAGACAGGGCTAGCTGGTGCAATTAGATTGACGCGGGCTGACTTTTTAGGCTGCATCAGGTTAAATTTACAATCACAAACGAGGCAATTTTGCGTTAACTTTTCTTAAACTGCAAATCTAAATGAATATTAATGAAACCAGAGTCCGAATTTAATGAATTGAAGCCGCATCTCAAATCCCTGCGAAAACCGGTTTCAATTGAGCGCCGGCTTGAATCTTGAAACGTTGAATACGATTTTAAGCGGAAACAACCGTATTTGAGCCGCGGCTCAAATTCTTTAATTTCTGCCTCAGATTTTACTGATCGAATGAGACTTCTTTTGACATTCTATAAAAAATTTATTTATTAAGAAAGAAATCATTTTTAGTTTAATTCAATGATCTAAACATATTCAGGAAGCCGGCAAAACGGTTAGACCGATTGGGCTAAAGTTTTTTGTGGACACTCAGCGGTGTCCGGGGAGTATGATAGGCTATAAAAATTAGAATTTTTTTTCAAATTTTTTTTTAAACCTTTTTTTTCAAAATATTTCTTTTTCCCACGGGCAATGCCGGGCCTTTCAGCTAGTCCTAAATATTCTTTTAAAACTCTAATAGGTAAACCAAAACAACATTCAATTCAAGTTTAAAGATATCCTTAATAATCTATATTTTCCGTATCTTTGATATAATAAATGACGTTTGTTTTTTATAGATCATAACCTTTAGTCTTTAAATCTTTCAATTTAAAAGTTAAAGCAGTGGATAACAATTCAAGTTTAGTCGCTAAAGCTAAGGGGCAAAACCCTTACAAACCCTAGGGATATTTAAACAATCTATCCTTTCGGGATCTTAGCATTTTGGATATTCTTAAAACCGTACACATCTATCATATGATCCTATAGATGCCAAAATTGTTAGCACTGAAATTCAGCGAGGCTTTTAAGACTCTCTTTAAATCCTTGCTTCTTGAACCCGTAATACATTTGATAAAGAATACTCAACAGTAAACAAGGTTGTTAAAAGAATAAAGTTGTAGGGAGGNCCTACCTAACTCCGAAGAGAGAAACTACTCTCTCAATCTGTCGAAGATGTGAAGGAAACTGAACCATGTATCTTTCCTCACCGTTCTGCTTTCCAACCAACCTGTCCATCAAGAGACCCCAGTTCACATACTTGAAACAGCTCTAAATACAAATATATATGAATACTATCTCAAGTGCCCGGCGTTGCCATTGCCGTCGCCGTTTGGCCAGCTATAGCTAACATATATAGATACATACATATCAGTTGAAACGCAACAATCTTCTTATAACATTTTATTCATAAACAAATTGTTTCATGCTTTCATGCAATCATCAGTAGATACATACATATATATAAATACTAGCAACTGAAGAGTATCCAGGTTGTATTATCTACTCCTGTTCCTACCTGGAGTTCCCCTGAAGAGTATAGGTTGTATTATCTACTCCTAGTCTTACCTGGAGTTCCAGATGAGAATAAAGGTTGTATTATCTACTCCTAGTCATACCTGGAGTTCTTGAAGAGTATAAAGGTTGTATTATCTACTCCTAATCCTACCTGGAGTTCCTGAAGAGTATAAAGGTTGTATTATCTACTCCTAGTCATACCTGGAGTTCCTGAAGAGTATAAAGGTTGTATTATCTACTCCCAGTCCTACTTGGAGTTCCTCAAGAGTATAAAGGCTGTATTATCTACTCCTAGTCCTACCTGGAGTTCCTGAAGAGTATCCAAGTTGTATTATCTACTACGAGTCCTACCTGGAGTTCCTGAAGAGTATAAAGGTTGTATTATCTACTCCTAGTCCTACCTGGAGTTCTTGAAGAGTATAAAGGTTGTATTATCTACTGCTAGTCCTACCTGGAGTTCTTGAAGAGTATAAAGGTTGTAAACTCTGTTTTCTCTGAAAGCTTTGAGCTCCTGATTACGGTCTGGTAGTGCCTGGTACAAATATAACTGATTAGTTGAATATTGAGAAAATATATCTTTGATTTCTGAGAAAAATACTGGGTTAAAAATATTAAGACAATTATCTAGATTGATGAAGGAAGTTCAATGCAATTCAATTAAATCCCCGATTATTTTACAAAATCCATCTGTAACTTCTTTATATTACATTCATTGGTTGTATCAGATGCTTATGCACATTCTTATCTAAGAAAACTGCAGTTTCATCAATTTTATTCAGCTTTGGCTTAGGCTTTTATAAACACGA